GCTTCGAATAAATTTCATTTCTGATGACTGAACTTTTGATTTATCTCTGTCATTACTCTAGCTTCATTTCCATATGTTAAAATGGGCACAGCCACAGTATTGAAAAACTTTACTCTAGTATCTTGTTATTATATTAATTTGAATCAAAATCGACATGAATTAATACGTAGTTTCTTAATAATTTAATTTTGGTTCGTTTTTCGTCTCGATTTACTCTAAAAACGTTTCAATTTGTTGTTTATGTGAATTCTTAATGATACTGAAAATAAAATTGCGAATCCATTTACATTTAGAAACGTTTAAATATGTCATTCTTGCCTTCAAAACATTCTCTTACATGTACACTTACTGTTCCCAACTGTCTCGTGAGATGTGGAAATGACTATCTAATCGTATCAACTAAAAGCGGAGTATGTTACATATGGCTGCGGTCTTCATTTTGAAACGGAATCATCGCTCGTTTGAACACAAAAACAGGACCCTCTGAAGAAGAATGGAAAATAAGATATTCGTCGTTTAATCTATTTGCCATTTCTGAACTGTTTTTCCACACGTAGCTTTGAAATCTTATAAACAATACTCATTCCAGTTAAGTTTTGCAAATCAATACATTCTTGTCACTTATGAACGTTTTTGTCTGTATCGCATTTAAAAGAAACTATATTGCTAGTAATTATTTTTATTTTACCTTCAATTTTCTTTCGATAAAGCTATAATAGCTGGACCCGTGCGATCATTCTGCACATTGTTTTCATCATTGTTTTGAAACAATCATTGTTTCGAAAGGAAAGAATAGATTCATACTAGATCCCTACTTCCAATCATTAAGAAACCTTTCCAAAGACAGCCCCTACAGAGCCTCGCCATTAATAAAGACATTATTATTATTATTATTATTATTATTATTATTATTATTATTATTGTTATTGTTATTATTACTATTATTGTTATTGTTATTGTTATTATTACTATTATTGTTATTGTTATTATTATTATTATTATTATTACAGTGCGTTACAGATCTGTCAAGCAGAACTATTGGCGCGGCAAGTTAATTTTGCACAGATTTTATATTGTACTGGAATCTGATCAACAATGCGTGCTACCCAGACAAGCTAAATATCCAGAAATGTAAACGAAGGTTCAAGAGGGTCTATAATTCGATTTATTTAGAGCTACATTTGACAGGTCGTTGGCTATTACGGCGTCATCCAATCGGGAGCTTACACGTCACTATGGTGACGTCCGACCTCTCGATTGGATGACACAGTAACAGCTAATATTCGTCAAGTGCATTTATGGCTATATCCCAGTATATTTGTGCGTAATTCTGCGTAAAGAAACTCAGCTCGGGCTCCACTTGCACTCTGCCCCGCACTCTGCTCTCAATAATAATTCTTGAAAAAAGAGGCCGAGTGATTTTTTTCTTTCGATTTCTCCCCTCCAGTAGCCCTGCGAGGAAGTTTATTCAAATTAGGGTTTACAGAATGTGCTTCAGGCAATTGGGCTTTTGTAGCGCAGGGACGGCTATATCTTAAATAAACTGTCTTATGTTAACTCATTAACTAATTCCATGTGCTTCTTTGAGCGTGCTTCACTTTATATTAGTCCTTTAATTTGGTTTAAAAGTTCTTGTTTTTGTTTTTGTCTTCTGTCTCCTATTTTCCTTTTATTTCGTTCATTCCTATCTGTATTTACGAATGCACTCACAGCACTACACTTGACGTGAAGTGGTTGTGGGCGCAGGCGCGAGTGCAGGGCGCGTGACGTCACGGCGAGCGGGGCCAATTGCCACTTCCGCCCGGCGCCACAGCCCACGCCCCCTCCCCCCCTGCCCACCCACGCTACTGACGCCGCGTGCACGCACGCACGCTTAAAAGGACTTCAGTGTTTTCCGGATCTGTGACGAAACTATCGGCGCGCTTCCGCGGTTCGGTCTGTGCAATTGCGTGGGGCCCTAAGACCTGTTTTTTCTTAAATTTATTTATTTATTTATAATCGCATAGCTTATAATAATCGCATAGCATTTATATCTACATAGCATCATTTATATGTATAAACGGTTATGTACATTGACAATTAGATAGAATGGAATTATATAGTGAAAAATAGGAAATTTTGTCATGAAATACGTTACATTGTTCAAGGACGTTGCTTCATTTAAATGCAATGCGCAAGAGTCAATGAAATCTCTTTTTACGCTTTGATAGACGTTTGAATTATCATTAAATAGCGTTACAAATAATACAATGTTTACAGAATTTGCTTAATTTTTTTGTTTTGATAAAAAGTTTTTTTTTTTAATTATTAGGTAGTTTTCTACCTGGATTCTCTCTTCTTTTCTGGTACCTTTTCAAAATTTAATTTTCAAAGAAAACCTCCGTTCTCATTTTTTAATTATTCGTTCACTTGTTGAGTCAAATTTAACTCTAATGGTTTCGTTGCTTTCTATCGTCACGATTTTTGGGCTCCGGAAGAAGCAGCCTCGCCACTGCATCCCAGACATTTTCGCGACTCCTCCCGCGAAGGCGTTGTTGTTGTTGTTTTTAACGAGAACGCAAACTTATTTCTCGAAAGAGTTTGTGTCCATTTCCTGAAAGAAAATGGGAACACAGGAATCTGTATGCAAAGAAGTTGGAGACACAATGAAAGGGTTCTCAGAAACTGAGAAGCGAGGATGAATATTTATCGAAATACTATTATTGAATAGGGCGAAAATAATGTTGGAGAACTTCGTGTCAATCGATTTGAAAGAATAAATATAATTAAATATCTCATTGAACGGCATTATTATCTAGTTAAATATTGTTTAATTATAATTTTTCCGCGACTTGTGCTGTAGATTTATAATTTTAAAATAAATCTTGAAAACGTTGGTTTTATTCTATGGCAATGTTCACTTCACTATGGAGATAAAAAATAACCTCCAAAACAACAACAGTAGAAACTTAACACTTTCTGATATATAAGGGGGAATACAAAATTGCAATATTCCCGCATAAGTGTCAGTATTTAATGTTGCTGATTTACATGCTTAAGCAAAGCCTCTAACAGTGTGGATCATTGTATCAGAAGCGAGCATTTAACCTTTTCTTTCTAATCTGCAGAGCGGCTAGCGCACTTTCTTTGCCAACGCTGACAACTGCCCCACCCTTCTCCCGCCTCGTTGCACTCTCGCGCAACAGATTGGCTGGCTGAGAGGGGGAGGGGGCTGGAAGGGCACGTGCAGATCGATTGCATGGCCTCTGAAAAGCTGTCACAGCCCCCGAAAGTAAGACTTTTAGCTAAGTACCATCGGTTTCAGTTTTCAATGCTTTAGAATTTAACAACCGGCATGAATGTAGTGCGGAAAATGTCTAGCCGGAGCGCGTACACTTCCTATTAAAAAAACATCAATAAGTACAAGAAAATCTTTCGCCGCATTCTCTAAACTACTTTTTCTATATATTGACATTTTTAAAGGACGCGCGAAGGGATTTTCTAAAAAAAACATGATTAATTGTCAAATATCTCGTGTGTATTTTTTCATAATATGATTTCATAAGTGAAGTATCTTAATAATTTATTATTTATTAAAAGTGGTATTTTAAGGACTAAGAGAGAAAAAGTGCCTCCAGCCCCTCTCGCACTCCCATGGGCCCTCTGCTCTGACGAAAGCACTGCGAGAGTGTTAGTTAAAATATGTCACGGAAACCTCTCAATCATGGAAACGAATATTTACACTTCATTTTGACTTTCCGATGAAGAAAATAGTGGAGGGGAAAATTAGATGAATTATACACGTAAAATCGTTTTTAATTTTCCCATCTTAGCGATATAATTTTAATCTTGGATAAATCGCAGATTATATTTTAATTTATATCAATAATTTATTTAATTAAAAAAATCTCATAAGAAAATAAAAACGAGAAAGGAGAATACGAATAAGGAGGATTTCTAGAACGAGTGGCAGTGAAGCAAGTGTTCATAAATGATAATAAGATATCTATTAAGCATAAAGGTTTCATGATTACGCTAAGAAATCTTTCTTTACATAATTAGAGAAGGTATAATTGACTATTTTGTTTGATTCTTCAGTGTCAATCACTTTCAGATAATGTCAAACAAATCATTCGACAATGTTTAAAATAATTCAAATCGCATTAAAAGAGCTACTCTAGGATGATGGACTCGATGATAAAATGTATGAACGATAAATATTCACTGTTTACATACAGAAAGTCATTATACCAAGCAAAAAAAATAACACCCGCCAAAATGATAGTGTGAAATTATTCATATGAATATTTACTATTATTTTAAAATATTGAAAATATGAAGAATTAATGTATCCAGACTAATGAAAATATTCATTTTAAATGTTTGGATTTGAAATTTAGAATATGTAGGACCGTTTTCGGTTTATACTTAGTTGCCACTTACCTCTTTCGTAGAGACTTGAAAATATCAGGAGTCATAAAGGTTTCCAGAATGAATAAATAAACATTCATAGTAGAAAAAACTTAATACATAATTTATCTCTTCATAAATATAAATAAGTATTATACACAATGAATCTCCATTTCTGCTAATAAAAACTTCTAATAAAAGTTAACAATTAATTTGCAAACATTCGCAATCTGAATGATTATCCAGTTCTGTAAGAGAGCTCAGTTCGATATGACAGAAACATGAATGGCACGTATCAGACATAGTTTGAGCGATACTACTCGTATTTTATTTCATAGAAATGACATATTACACAAACAACTCAATTAAATCCTTATTATGTAACTGCATCTAAATACAAAACGTAGTTAGTGCCATGTTTTGTTGCACATTAAAATTATAAATCTGGCAGTGACGCATTTTTTTAAATTTATAACGCAGTTTCTGAGTTCTTTCAATCTAAATTTCTCATTCATTTGTTTTGAGAAAACGTACATTCCTTACCCATTCATTTCAAAACGCATTCGCACGGCTGCTACCGCATTTCGTCACAGAGACGTTGTGTTGGAGCTTCATATTATGTCGAGCAAATCTTTGGACACCGACGAGTTCTTCGGGTTGTCGTCGTCTTCGTCGTCGTCCTCGTCCTCCGAGAGCCGGCCCGCCTCGGGAGCGGACGCGCTGACCCCGGAATCGATGTGATCAGCGATCACGCTCAGCAGCTTTTTGAAGACAAACCCGTCCATATTCTTCCCCAAGTAGTACAGAAAGAGCCAATGGGAGAAACTGAGTTTGCGGCAAATGACGTGCAGAGACTGTTCATCCGCGCCGGGGCTGCTGCTGCGGAAGAGGAACAAATTGAAGGCGTCGCTGCGGCGGTGGAGGAGCAGGGTCACCCCGCGCCAGATCAGCCCCAGCGCGGTCGCGACGAACAGGATGACGAACCAGAACCACAGGAAGGCGTAGATCTTCTCGTTGATGATGTTGAGCGCCATGACGCACAGCGCGTCGTAGTTCTGGATGGTGCCCGACGGCCCGAACTTGCGGAAGACGCACTTGGTCATCTTGGGGAAGACCTGATCGAGCGGGCTGCTGTCGACGTCGCTGCCGCCCACGATGGACGCGCCCAGGCCGGCGAAGCGGCCGGCGAGGAAGGCGTCCGTCACGAAGAACTGCCCCACGACGTTCGCCAGATTGAGACACTCGCACAGCATGAGCTTGCGCGCCCAGCCGCGCAGGTAGGGCAGGCGCTCCACGAACGCCCTGCGCACCGCGCCGATCTGCGCGTCGCGCTCGCCCTTGGTGGGGATGTGCAGGTCCTTGACGTCGAGGGCGCGGTCGTCGGCCGCCAGCGTGTAGTTGTGCAGCGCCTGCGCCATCTTGAAGAGCGTGCCGCCGTCCAGCTTGCGCCAGAAGAGGTGCGGCAGGTAGAACATGATGGCTTGGAAGAAGAGCACGAAGGGCACCCACTGGTAGTAGGCGTGGTGCAGCACGTCGTCCGCCTCTGCCCAGGGCCCCACGCCCGGGTGCAGACGCGAGGACGCGTCCTCGCCGTCCAGATGGCGCACGACGGTGAAGGTGGCGCTGAAGAAGCAGTACGTCTCCACCATCTTGATGCTCACGTCGCCCTTGATGTCGGAGATGCAGCGGATGTGCTCGCCGATGTACTGCCGGCTGCACACCAGAATGGTGGCCACCACCAGGATGAGGAAAGTGATGCGGTAGTGGAGCTTGAAGATGACATTGTCGATCGTCCTCAGTTTCGGCTTGAGGTTGATGTTCTTGGCGATGCCCTCGAACGTGGACAGCATGATGGCGGCGCGGAGGTGCGCGGCCGACCCCGACTTCGCGCTGACAGCGACTGATACAGGCGCTGCTCCGCGCCGTCAGCGGAGATAAAAACCTTATCTGCAGTGGGAGAACTCCTCCAGTTGATGAAATGTAAGATAGTCACAACCTTTTTCCATCGTAGTCTTCACGATCATGATGAAATAAGGAATACGGTTCACGGGATTGGCCGGAATATGAACAATTAAACAATCAGTTTACCAACCTTTCGGAATCGTTTAATTCCTTCCTCAGGGCTAGTGTATAAACGAAAAAACAAAAAGAATACATTAAAAGATACCCAAACGTTGGCAAAGTGAATGTTTAATTGTTCATTTTTCGGCCAATCCCATGGACAGCATACATCACAAACTTCTCTTTATTTTTCTCTTCCGTCTTTTTATTTCTCTTCTGGAAAATAACAATCTGTTCTTACGCAACATTCAGTAAATGACTTGAAATGACAACAATAAACACAAACGAGACAATTCTCACAAAAAAGTACTGGGGGTAGTATTTTCATCAACTTACGTGGCGAAGTATATAAGACGTTCAAACATTATTGCTTTTGGTACAATGTCACAGTTATTTAGATGTATATAATTTTCTCTTCAGATTAAAACATGGCAGAATGAGCTATTTATAACTGGAAAACATGATTTAATACTCTTAGTAACGATGGAAGTGAAATAAATACGTATTTCGGTACAAAAAACGCCATTCGAACATAAAGTATTGTAATTTACTACTAGATTTTCCCAACATTCAAACTAAGAATACATTTAAAAAAATAATACCAAGTTTCCTTTTGCATACAAAAAAATGCATTAACACTTTAAAGTCCACCGGTACGTTTGTGAATCACCATGCATACTTGCTAAATTTTATTCATATATTTTTGTTGGTATGACTTTTTCTCTAATGCCTTCCTGCAATCATTAAGTATCCCTTTTGTTTCTTGGACTAGTAACACTGGTTTCGAACGGTTTATTTGTTTTGACTTCAATAGTTCTGTGCACAAAAGCATGATATTTCGATAGCGATATCGAAAGAAATGTACTTTAATTTAACAAATAATTATAAGAAATAACTAATACATAACAAGATTATCAAAACGTATAAATAACGTATTGTAAACAAATTACTAGGACTTTGAAAATGTTTCGTTAATTTAGTTGAGGGACAAAACCTCTGGTTCATTATTGTAGCACTAGGAATTTCCCCTCTCTTCTTAAGGCATCAACTGTCACTTCGTTGCCTTTGACCGGCAGGTCCTAGGTTCGGGTTCCGACTGTGGCAGAATTTTCAACACTAGCTAGCTACCTAGTTTGAATTGAGTCGTTGTCTGGAGGACAACTCTAGCTGCCGGCTGCTCCGATCGGTAATTTTCCGTGGTTTCTCCGATCGCCACTAGGCGAATTCCTTCCTCTTGCTTGTCCTGTCCTCTCCCCTTACCCACATACACTTACACGCACATGCGCTACACATGCCAGACTAGTCGGGAGCTTAGAGCTTGTCCCGGCTGGGGCGGTGCCACTCTGGTGCGATATTTCTGGTTGGGGGAAAATATCATCATAATGTTTTGTATTTTAATTGGTCATTACGGTGAATAGACATCATTACAGAAATACATGACGAAGTTCCTGTAGGTTGTCGAAGACCACCATTCAATATATCATTGTCGTGGATCAGATCTATTAAAACTTCGTAAATTATTTGAATATGATCAAAAATTTGTTTACAGGCTTGTTTTTTTAGGATCGTAAAGAAATATCTTGAAAGCACCTGAGTGGAACTAACAATTATATTTCTACACTGAAAACATTGGATCGTCATGATAATGGAAACGTTGATCTACGAAATTCTTCTAACCGAAAAAACGCATTATTATGTTTATCAGCATGAAAATATACATTGCCAATTATACATCACTTTTTATAATGGCTGACGATGATATGAACGGGCAAGAACGAAGCAGAATATTAAAGATTGCTGAAGAGCTATTGTCTGAATCAAAATGCTTCAAATATTACCTAGTAGGAAGACGGTAGATGAATATAGGCATTGCATGTATATGCTGTCTCTTATACACATCTAGATGTGTATAAGAGACAGCTCCCGCCCTCTCTCCCTCCCTCCCCCTCTCTCCCACCCTCTCTCCCTTCCTCTCCTTCCCTCTCTCTCCCCTCTCTCCCCTCTCTCCCTCTCTCACTCATTCATTCATGCATTCATTCATTCATCATTCATTTTCTTGCTCTCTCTCTCGCTCTCGCTCTCTCTCTCACACACACACACCTACCGCACTCGTTTATTCCGTGGTATCCGTCGTCGTCACGAGGCCCAGTCCTGCCTCCAGATGGAGTAAAATCCCACCGGCCAAATCTTCTTGCTCATTTCGCAGTGCCCTCGCTCTTTTCGTCGTGGATGGATTGCATTTCCAGTGCAGGCAGACGTCGAAAGGAAACAACGCAGCTTCCGGCTATTGACTTTTGTTTCGTTAGATACTCAAGGACTCGGAAAAAAACGGAAAAAAATGATTTTTTTACGATTCACTGTAAAATTCAAAATGAAATTGGATTTTTCCGCGTATTATCTTACTGCGTGTACCGACTTAATCCCCAAACGTAGCGCGTCACTGCTTAGAATACAGTCGACGTCGTCAGATAGCAAGGCTCCGAGGAAGAGAGCGCCCTATTTTCAATAGTTCCTAGAATTGTGTTACAGTACAGAACAACAGCTATTTTGCTAATATTGTTATGTAATATAGACATATACTGTATTCATATTATTACACTGAAGAACACACTGTATAAATATGTGCTATATTATGTTATTGAAATATCCGTGAAGACGGCTTTAGTCAAAATATTTAATTTCTTGCAATGCTATTTGAGAGTATCTTATTTATTGTTTTTTTAGCAGTACGCTTGCAACTATTTGAGAAACAATTTCTATGCTTACTATTTTAAAGTTTGCAACATAATTTTATACATTTTAAATGGAATTAACTATTATAACTCTTATATAGCAATTTAAAAAAAAAGGTATATTGATTTTTTGAGAAACAGAAGTCTATTGCGAGATTACTTCCGACAATCGCGAATGCTGTACGTATGACTATTGTCTAATCACGAGTGGAATTTTGTTATATAGTGTCTTATGGTTCACGATTTTAATTAGTTTTCACGCAATATGTATAATTGAAGAAATAGAATTGGTTATCATGGATTGTGTAAAACATAATTTCGAGAATATTGTTTAAAAAACGGTGTGCAATGTTCGCAATGTCCTCTCAGTATAAGATTTCAGTATAAGATTCAGTATAAGATTTCAAAATGGTTTTATAGTAATGTATTACTACACGAACACTGTCCGTTTGATTTCTTTAGATTTCTGGGAACGGAAGGGTACAAATAAGTCTTCAAAGAAAAAAATAGCTTTATACGGTAACTGTACTTAGTTTATTGTACAAAGCAGAAAAGGAGTTAAACTTCAGGAAATATTTCACATGCCTTCACGCTTTATCATGACTTGGTGATGCATCAAACTCTAAAGCGAAGCAAAGGCAACACCAACAGCTTAACTGAAAGAGAGAAATTGTACTTTCAAAATCATTTTAAACATTTCAAAAGTGTAATCATATAATCTACCTTCTTTTTCATATTTTCTATTGCGTAAAATTAATGTTTAATTAGTATTTCATTTAAATTCATATCTTAAATGACAAATGCAAAGTTTTCTCAATTCAATCTTTTTTTAGAAACCCATCAAACGCCAAATTCCTCATTTTGAGAAAACTGAAAAAAAGTCTCCCAATTTTTCAGATTCCAAAATATTTTTATTTATAAAAGCAGTTGATAAATGAATATTTTTCACATAAATATGCACTAAACGATGTTTCTATCTTCTTGGAACAATAATCCATCGCTAATGTGTGTTTTAGATTTTGGCGTTTGACGTATTTCTGAAATAACGATTCACTTTATTTACGTGTTTACAGTTCCAGTAAGTTTTACCCGCAAGAATACATAACAGATACTCCTATATTAGTTTATGTTTATCGATAGAAATATCAATTTGAACAGAAACTATGATTTTCCCTTCTGAGGGAAGTTCTTACGCTGAATCAATAAACGCCGTCCGCACAACGTTGCGCAATATTGGAGATCGTGAGAACAGACCTTGGGAGACGCCGACAATTACCAAAAGGTCAGGGACCTTCCCGCTCTTCATGAGAACCGCGTGACATCTGGCACGCCGCCTTCGGTTGCTCATTTCGAAATTCAATATGCTTGCTTTAAGAAAGAATTTGCGAAAAAAATGTTAAAGTCCCTTTTAGGTAGAACACACATTCTTCTCTTTAAGGTTCGACACACATGATCGATTTTCTATCTTGAAGGTGCAAATCTCCCTTGTGGGAGCTCTTCCTTACGTTCTTCGTGAAAGTGAACATTCTGCAATAGAAAATGTCACTTTTTCAGTGTGCTTGTTATAATCAGAAATCGACAAATTTATTTTTAAAAACCAACTCTAGTTTCTTTGTTAGAAATTAATATGGTTATCAGCTACAAAAGACTGACCAAATTATAATTTGCTATTATCTTAGTACAATTTCGCAAGTTTTGTATCCACGTATCCCTTCAAACACTTCAAAGATGTGATGATCATCGGTTATCAAGAAATGTAGTTATATTTTCCTTGTAATATGTGTGCAACAACAAATGCGTTATTCTCTATGCAATATTATTTTAAATAGTCTATGTCCTTATTAAAACTTACTTGAAAAAGCCATCGAAAAATTATTCCAATTCGATCTTCCTCAGGTTTAAAGAACTGTGAAGGTGGGCTTTTTCACCTGATTTTTTAGCAATTAGTATACGGTCGGGGGCAGAGATACACTTTTTAGTGAAAAATACTTCGAGGTCACTCAATGTATTGAAATACATTGGTACTAATTCGCATTTTATGCTCATTCGTGAATGCT